TCTATTCTATTCTATTCTATTCTATTCTATTCTATTCTATTCTATTCATGTCAGGGATGCAGGGAAAGAAAATGTAATAAGTCATAATTTATTGTCCACCAGAAAATAATTTAGCCGACCTCATGACAAAACCATTAAGTATACAAAAAACACAAAGATCTTGTGAAATAATTTGGTTTCAATGCTGTCCAGCTATAAATTGGAGGAGAGTTAAGATATTAAATTTAGTAGCTGGAACAGTAAAATTTTAGAATGGGCAAGAACAGGCAGTTCTAAGTTGATTGGTTGGAGAGTGCTGGCTCCTGCATGAGGCAATCTATGCTATGATTGGTTGCTGTAGGTGTAAAGGGGGATTTTCCCATTTTTCCTGCTTTTTTTCTTCTCTGTGCTGTATCCTATTTGGAAGGCTGAAGCAGATGTGGCTTCTATAGATTTGGAGTTAATAGACTCGATGCATGATGAACTGGACTTTCTTAAGACCACTGGAGAATGGAGCTAACCATGTCTAACTGGAAAACCATTTGGAAAATGGATCGACCAAGAGGTTTTAGGATTTGGGGAAATAAGACACAACTGTTCTCTTCATTGCTCTGAACTAAAATCTTAAGAAAAAGTTTTATTAATAAGAATCAAACAAAGATATTTCATCCCAGACAAATCAGAGACAATGATTCTGGTGATTTATGGTAAATAAGAAACCATTCTAAATTTTATACAAATTAAATGGAATAGTAGATTGTTAATAAAGTGCTTTGATGTTTAACTTTGTTGGATCACCTGTTAATTACAACGCCTTTATAGATCATAGATAGATGAATGTCGAATTGGTTGTAAATACAGGTAGAATTTTATAAATTTTGGACCTGCTTCAGAAGTGGAGGAAACTAATATTGTGCCAATATTCTTATGAATATTCTAGTGGGGGGATAATAAAAGTAAATCTGTTTTTCTCTTTTGTAATGTACATTTTTTCTTTTTATGTTTTTTTCTATTCTTGTTTTGCTTTTGAAAAAAAATCTTTGTTTTTGGAGTTTGTACTGTCTATTAATATTTTGAATAAAATAACCTTTTTTTAAAAAAAAAAAAGTTCATTTACCACAAGCACGTTCAGGGAGCTACTGTGGACCTATTTTCTAAACTGCCTCTAAATTCATAGAATCATAGACACATGGGGTTGGTTGTATCATGGTGACCTAAACTGGACACACTATTCTAGGTCTGCTGTCACCAGCACAGTGTAAAGCAACTCTATCACTTCTTGCCCTGACATTATGCCTCTGTTAATGCAGCCTGGGACTGCATTGGCTTTTTTCGGCAGTGGCAGCACTATACAGCACAATACTGACAAAAGTGGTACTTATCATATGGCCCGGGGACACAGCCTATCCTTTTGGAGATTTCCCAGAGGCAGCTCCATTTTCAGTGCACCCACAATTCCTTAAGACAGTCTACAAAGAATTAAGGGAGCAAAACAGAATACTTTGTCCCAGTGACAATGACCCAGAAGCAGCCACCATTTTGACACAGAGGCAGGCATGAGAAAATAGAAGCTGCTTCCACAAGTCCGCCACATGACCCAGGCATGAATCCCAAGCACATTCAAAATAACGGCTGCTTCCACAACAGTCATGAAGCCCACAAATGTGTGTCTTGCCTTCCTTCACCAACATGAGGTTCAGAGATCTTCAAAAGGTATGGAGAAGGAGGAGGCTGTGATGCCTGGTGGGTTGGGAGTCAGGCCTAACAACTGCAGGGACCCAGTGGGAATAGGAAAATGCCTGTGGGGACCCAAAGGGTGGGGTAGTGGAGGCTAGGCCTCCCAAGAGATTCCCACAACCCTGAGGTGGTCACTGTTCTGCTTAATGACTTGAACATTATTTAACAGCTTCATCAGGGAGAGTAGGGGATGGGGACAGGTAGTTAAGCAATGTCACTTAACAACCACTGCAACATGTAACCAAAACTGGCAGGCCCATTACAGTTTTATCTAGAGGACTACTTCTATGGTGGCTGGGGAATTCTGGGGCTCAAAATATGGAGGACACCAAGGTAGAAGGAGGAAATTCCATGTGTGGGAATTCCATAACCAATATACAAAAAACACCACCCAAAAGACTTTTTCAGGAATTCCACTACTTCTGCAAAAATGAAATTGCTGCTGATAACGAGAAACTGGTAGTTAGCCCTTTTCCATTTTCCTTTTTTCTCCACTTACAAGTCTAATTCTGAGGTATGTTTTTACCTACATTCCTAATGAGAGATGAGAAATGAAATTAAAGCCTTCTATAAACTCATCAACTTTTCCCTCAGTTGGATTTCCATGTGGTCAATAAGGAACTATTTATACCAGTAGCATCATCCACAGACAGATTAGCCTCTATGAGTCCTCCAGTATATCGCCAGGTTCGAATTCTGACTGAAATATACCCACAATCAGGTTGCTCAAAAGGTTTCTCACCTGTGTGAGTCCTCTGGTGTTTCACAGGGTCAGAATTCCCATTGAAACTTTCCCATATTCTACACATGCAAACGGTTTCTCTCTTGGGTCAATCCTCTGATGATTCAGCAATCAGGAATTCTGACTGAAACTGTTCCCATAATCAGAATATTAAAAGGGTTTCGCTCCTTTGTGAGTCCTCTGATGGCTCACCAGGCTGGAATTCTGACTGAAACTTTTCCCGCAAACAGGACATTCAAAGGGTTTCTCTCCTGTGTGAGTCCTCTGATGGCTCACCAGAGTGGAATTCTGACTGAAACTTTTCCCACAAACAGGACATTCAAAGGGTTTCTCTCCTGTGTGAGTCCTCTGGTGTTTCATCAGGTTGGAATTTTGACTGAAACGTTTCCCGCAAACAGAACATTCAAAGGGTTTCTCTCCTGTGTGAGTCCTCTGGTGTTTCACCAGGCTGGAATTGTGACTGAAACTTTTCCCACAATCAGGACATTCAAAGGGTTTCTCTCCTGTATGAATCCTCTGGTGGTTCACCAGGTAAGAATTCTGACTGAAACTTTTCCCACAAAGAGGACATTCAAAGGGTTTTTCTGTTGTGTGAGTCCTCTGATGGCTCACTACGTGAGAATTTTGCCTGAAACTTTTTCCACAATCAGGACATTCAAACGGTTTCTCTCCTGTATGAGTCCTCTGGTGTTTCACCAGGTAAGAATTCTGACTGAAACTTTTCCCACAAACAGGACATTCAAAGGGTTTTTCTCTTGTGTGAGTCCTCTGATGGCTCACTAGGTGAGAATTCTGCCTGAAATTTTTCCCACAAAGAGGACATTCAAAAGGTTTCTCTCCTGTGTGAGTCCTGTGGTGTTTTGCCAGGTGAGAATTCTGACTGAAACATTTCCCACAAACAGGACATTCAAAGGGTTTCTTTTCTATGTGAGTCCTCTGGTGTTTTGCCAGGTAAGAATTATCACTGAAACTTTCCCCACAATCAGGATATTTAAAGGGTTTCTCTCCTAGGTGAGTTCTCTGGTGTTTTAGCAGGTCAGAATTCTGACTGAAACTTTTCCCACAAATAGGACATTCAAAGGGTTTTTCTCCTGTGTGAGTCCTCTGATGTGTTACCAGGTTGGAATTCTGGCTGAAACCTTTTCCACAAATAGGACATTCGAAGGGTTTCTCTCCTGTGTGAGTCCTCTGGTGTTCTGCCAGATGAGAATTCTGACTGAAACTTTTTCTACAAACAGTACATTCAAACGGTTTGTCTCCTGTGTGAGTCCTCTGGTGTATTACCAAGTCATAATTCTGTCTGAAACTTTTTCCACAAAGAGGACATTCAAAGGGTTTTTCTCCTGTGTGAGTACTCTGATGGATCACTAGGAGATAATTCCGACTGAAACCTTTCCCACAAACAGGACATTCAAAAGGTTTCTCTCCTGTGTGAGTCCTCTGATGATTCAGCAGACTGGAATTCTGACTGAAACTTTTCCCACAAAGACGACATTCAAAGGGTTTCTCCCCTGTGTGAGTCCTCTGGTGCTTCACCAGGTCAGAATTCTGACTGAAACTTTTCCCACAAAGAGGACATTCAAAGGGTTTCTCTCCTGTGTGAGTTATCTGATGTCTTACCAGTTCGGAATTGTAACTGAAACTTTTCCCACAATCATGACATTCAAAGGGTTTCTCTCCTGTGTGAGTCCTCAGGTGTCTCACAAAGTGGAAATATCCAATGAAATGTTTCCCACAATCTGGACAGTCATACGGCTTCTCGTTGCTGTGAGTCCTCAGATGTATCACCAAGTTGCCATTTTTCTTAAAGGGTTTACCACATTGGAAGCACTTGTAGGGCATCTCTTCTGGGTGGGTTTTTCCGCGAACCAAAAGGATCTGTTCTAACAAAAGCTTTTGCCACATTCAGATAATTTGTATGTGCTTTTCTCCAGAGTGGATTCTTTCCTGCTTAATCACTTGCAATTTGACGTCTGCTTTCTCCGTAATAGGCACACCTATGGAGCTTTTCCACCACTGATATTCTTGAGAAGGTCAAAAATATATGTGATCCCTTGTTTAGTGGTGCTTTGATTTAAGCCCTGTATTACTGTCTGCTCTATGTGCCCATCCAATTAACCTTTTCCTCCCCACTCACTTCCAGATATTTTCCACTTTTTCTGAATGGAAAAATAATCTCCCTTGCCTTTTTTGTGTATTGTATCCTTGAGTTCCACATACTCTACTTTTTCCAGCTCAAAATCTCTCATTGATTTTCTTTCCTTTATCTCTCAACTGCTGTGAAAGAAGTTTTTCTGAGGGAAATGGAGGATATTTTTATTTCTTTCTCAATCTGCTTTGCTTTTCAATATTGCTTGTTATTCTCAGTTGTCCGGTGTGTTCTTCTGGCATCATCTTTGTCTGTAAGATTCAAATGAAAATGTAGCTTTTATTGTTTATAAAAGGGTTGCAGAAGATGTGAAAAAAAGTGTATATTACAATGAAAAAGCAAACGTGCCACAATACTAGAATAATCTCTTACATTAATTGTGATATTTACTATCGAGTTCCAGTTTAAATATCCATTCAATCATTAAATTCACTTGTTGACTCAGGTCATTCACCAATTCTCAGCCCTGCAAAGGGTTATCATCAAATATATACGGTAGATAGATAGAATTCTTTATTGGCCAAGTGTGATTTGATACACAGGGAATTTGTCTTTGGTGCATATGCTCTCAGTGTACATAAAGAAAAATGAAAATACATTCATCAGGAATCATAAGATACAACACTTAGTGGTAGTCATAGGTTACTAATAAGCAATCAAATCATACTAGGAAACAAATAAAGAAGAAAAATATTACTTTATTACGGTCTTAGACCAGCAGTAGACATCACTATTTACAATATATAAAATATAGTACTGACAAATTATAGTACATTAATAGTGGATAATAACATCCCTGTTAAGAAAGTACATGTTGTCAAACAGTTAGGGTCACCCCCTGGTTTATATGAGTGGAGAGCCAATAAGTGTGTGTGTAAATTTCATTTCCCAAAGATTGTTCTATCTCCAAAAATTGGCACAAATTGACAGCCATAATTCTGTAACCAATTTTTTTCTTTTCTTTTCTTCTTTCTTTTTTTTTCTTTCTTTCTTTCTTTCTTTCTTTCTTTCTTTCTTTCTTTCTTTCTTTCTTTCTTTCTTTCTTTCTTTCTTTCTTTCTCTTTCTTTCTTTCTTTCTTTCTTTTCTTCTTTTTCTTTCTTTCTTTTCTCTCTCTCTTTCTGTCCCTTCCTTCCATCCCTTCTTCCTTTCACCTCCTTTCTCTCTCCCTTTTTCTTTCTTTCCCTTTTGTTTCCTTTTCTCCCCCCTCTTTCCCTCTCTCTCTTTCCCTCTTTCTGTTTCTGTCCTTTCCCTTCCTCCTTCCTTCTCCCCTTCTAAAGCTCGGAGACCCACCTGAAACACACACACACACACACACATGCTTCCAACGTTGCTTATTAATTTACGTTCTTCCTGGCCAGTCTCCTAGAGTCCCAGGGACTGGGTGAGATTATCCATTCGAACCCGGTTCCACATTGCCCGGCAGGCAAGGCTTCCAGGTCCAACAAAGGGGCTGGGGGTGGGACTTCCTCCCCTCCCTCAAGCTCCCATACCGCAGGCATCTTAACTGCCTGCAAAGTGCAAGCTTACCTTTGTGCCGTGGTTGATGCCAGAGGAAAAGTGAGCCAGCCAGGGCTGAGCCGTCGCCACTTAGCTGTCCGCCAGCCCGCATCTCGTCCCCTGATGCTCCTCGGATCCTCCACAGCTGCTGGGGCTCGCAGCTGCCTGGGGGAGTGCAGCACGCATCTACCTGCATTGGCCCTCTGCCTGCCACCCCTCTCTCACCTGGCCGAGTATTTTAGCCGAGTGCAGGCCGCCAAGGAAGATCTGCTCTCACGAGGCTTGACTTGCACCATTCTCACAGAATGCGGCCTGCATTCAGCCAAAGTGCACAGGCCAGCGGGCGGCAGAGGGAAGGGGCGGCAGGTTAAGGGGTGATGCAGGCCCGGGCACCATAGCATTGTGCTCACTGGTCGCCCCCTCCCCCCACCCCTAGGAAGCAAGGCCAAGCAGCTGAGGAGAATCCAGGCAGGGAGCAAGATGCAGGCTTGTGGGGACCCGAGCGGTGATAGGTCAGCCCTGCTTGCCTTCCTCTCTGCCACCAGTGAGCCAGGTAAGCTGGAGGCTGGGGACGGTTGGGGGTGGGGGAAACTTGCTAGGCCGCGAAAGCTGCATGGGCAGCTCCTGTGGCTAAGCAAGCTAGGCAAGTGGGGTGGGGGGGAACCTTGCTAGGCTGCGAGAGATGCATGGGCGGCAAAGCCATTTTGATCAAAACAAAACAAAACAAAACCTATCAACACAAAGTTCTCACACCAACCATCAAGTTCAATGATGAAGACATGATCATTTGGGCTTGTTTTGAAGCCACAGGACCTGGCCTTTTTGCAGTCATTGAGTAATCTATGAATTCCCCTCTATTCTAAAGTATTCAGAATCAGAATAGACCTGGAAGGGACCTTGGAGGTCTAGTAGTCCATCCCTCTGCTCAAGCAGGAGATCCTAACCCATTTTAGACAAGTGACTGTCCAGTGTCTTCTTCAAAACTTCCAGTGATGAAGCACCCACAAGGTCTGAACGCCAGCTGTTCTACAGATTAATGTCCTCACTGTTAGGAAGTTTCTCCTTAATGCCAGGTTGCTTCTCTCATTGATTAGTTTCCATCCATTGTGTCTTGCCCTGCCTTCAGGTGCTTTGGAAATTAAGTTGACCTCATCTTCTTTGTGGCAGCCTCTCAAATACTGGAGCACTGCTATCATGTCCCCTCTAGTCCCTCTTTTCTGTAAACTAGCCAAACCCAAATCCTACAACTGTTCTTCAGGTTTTAGTCTCCAGGCCTTTAATCAACTTTTTCAAAGTCTTTGTACTTTTTGTACTTTGTACTCTTTGTACTTTTTCAAAGTCTCAACATTTTTTTTTGTAATTTGACCAAAACTGGATGCAGTATTCCAGATATGGACTTACTAAGGCTTTATAAAGTGGTGCTAATATTTCACGTGATTTTTATTCTAGAGTCAAATGTGAGATCACCTGTCCAATAGCTGGGAGTTGCACCAAGTGCTACAATGACCACAAATTTGTGGACAAGCTATACGTCTGCTTTTACAGCGCCATGATAACTTTTTTTTTTAAACAAATTTTATTGATTTTTTAAAGACCAACAAAACATAGGACATAAAGGCATAAAACCTCCTTTCTAAAAAAAGTACTTATAAGTTTTAACAAGGCAAATAAAACATTATTTTTTAAGGCATAGTTCCACATTATCACATTTCCATTTAAGCACATATACATCTTTTCCAAATTTCTCATTATTTCTCCCTTCACTTTTATTCAATTATATTTCTTTCTATCAAGGTTTTATTAATTCTCAATCAAATATAAACATTTATACAGCATAGTTCCAAATTATCACATTTCCATTTAAACACCTATATATCTTTTCCGAATTTCTCATTCTTTCTCCCTTCACTTTTATTCAATTATATTTCTTTCTATCAAGGTTTTATTAATTCTCAATCAAACATGAACACACAAAATACAAAACATAAAACAAGACATAAAAACATAAAACCTCCTTAATTATCATTTGTACATGCCTTTTCCAAATTTCTCATTATTTCTTCCTTTAGTTTTATTCCTCCAAGGTTTTATTAATTCTCAATCAAACATAGCTAACCAAAACACAAAACATAAAACTTCTTTTGAAAAGTGGCTTAGCCCCGGGTTACATCTTTTTTTACAGACCTAAATCAAATTCATGCTCACCTTATATACCATTCTTATCTTATTTACCATTCTATATTTTCTATATAACTTCTCCCTTCTTTTCACTTTCTTAATTATATTTTGTTTATTTCATCTTATTTTAAAATCATTATACTTGTATCTTTTGTCCGTTCTTTTCCAATTATCTATTTATCTCTTCTCTTTAACAGAAAAATTCCCCTGTAATCACTTTTAAAGTGTGACGCCTATCTTTCCCCTAAAATAACACTTAAAATAATACATAATTTCCGTTCTGATTCTGCTTAGTACATTCTACATATTGCATTTTAAAATAAAAGAATAAATTTATAATATAGTTAAATATATAATTTCCATTCTAATTCTAATTCTACTTAATACATTATTTTAAAATAAGAAAATGAAATAGTAAATTTATAACATTAAGACAATAACGAATTAAACTATAACTAAACATTAATCATTTTACACATTCTCTTTAATATTTTATTAAATATTGAGATCTATCATTATTAAACATTTTAATATTTTAATATTTTGTTAAATCTTATAATACCGTGTTTCTCCAACAATACGGCCTCCACCAATAGGAAGCCCCAGCATGATTTATTGGCATAAAATCAAATTAAGTCCCTCCCCCCAAATTAAGGCCCATATTAAACATGCGAAATGGGGGGGGGGAATGGCGGGGGGTGGCTTGCCGTGAGGAAGTACTTTGTTGCATGCCCGGATATGGTGCTGCCTGCGTTGGTGGAGCACTTCATATCGGGAGACCTTCCGCCACCGTTAATTTCCCTTCCCCCTTGCTGCCGTAGCGTTACAGCAACACCGCGGCGTTTGGTGCAGCCACGTGCAGCCAGTCAGGGCTCCTCCCTGCAACCGGAGCCCT